TTGTACAGGTGAGAAAACAGGTTCAGAGAGGGAAATTGCTTGCCTGCAGCCCACGGCTGCCACGGAAGGCCGGCCTGGGATGCCATGCCCGCGGAGTCTGGCTCCAGAGCACGCGGCCTGCGTTTTTGCCCTTTGACCAGCCCAGTGCTTGGGGCCCAGGCCAGACCCTCCCTGCTGTCGCCTGAGGCAGACTCAAGGTGGAGCAGCACCAGGTTTTCCTCTTCCCCACTTCCCCGGGGTACCCCTGGCAAAGCAAGCAGTGTTGCAAAACAGCAGGGACAAGATCCCCACCTTTGCAGCGGTCCGCCCCGAGCCTGGGGAAGGGGCCAAGGGGGGGCCAAGATGCTTTCTATGGAAGAGCTGTAATGAGCAATCGAGCTGTTAGCTTGGGAGTTTCTTGGGAAAGTAAAGCGATGGTCAGAGACATGGATGTGTGTGCATCTCCTGTGGCTGCTGTATGTGCCGGGCCAGCACAGCCAAGGGTTCAGTGAGCCTGGTGGGGAGGGGGCAGCAAAGAATTAAAGAAAAGACAGACAAAGAGAATAAGCTGGGTCTAGGTGGATCTCCTGTGCCTGGCTGAGGCCACAGAGAGAGACCCAGACGGCAAGCTGAGCCTTTATTCTATAGCCAGAGGTAAACAAGGTAGTGGTCACCATAGTTACAATGTTCTTGTGAGTTTCACTTGTTTTGGCAGCACTTGCTGCACTTCCTGTAGCCCATTAGCTACCCAGATAGGATCTAGGGAGCATCATAAGGTCAAGCTTAATTATGCTAAGAGGGCTGTGACCTCTAAGCTGGGACTTGTTTGTGGCTTTGCCAACAGGTCAGTCCGAGGCTTAACCCTATAGACGCTCCCTACATCTCAACCTTCTTTTATTTTTAAGCTACTATATTGAAAGTAAAACTTAAACATCAAGAACAAAACTCTGGCTATTAACAAAACAATGCCAATGCAACACAGCAATAAGAGAGAAATCAAACTACAGCAACATTTTTCTACTAAATGAAAGTTTCTTTTGCTGATTTACTCAGAGTCCTCGGACTTGGCTGTGCAAGACTGGCAGCTGACCAATGCTAACATATCCAGAATCACGGTTGAGGGAGTAGCTTCCACTTCTTGCTTTTCTACCATCTGCTGGGCCTCAGTTGTTAACTTCTTCAGCTGACCCCATGTTGGCACCTTGCTCCCTTGCGCAGCCTTCATCATCTTCCTTTTCCGCATGGCTGTCATCAGAGCAACTCTCAGTCTTTGGAACGATGGGACAAGGAGCTTCTCTGGGTCCATTGTGGTGACACACGTAACACTCTGGTACCCAAATTGGCTGCACTGCTCCTTCTGGAAAGATACAAAACACAACCTTTTCCCCACATTATTACTGAATCTGGTAAAACTCTTTTTAAAAAAAATATATTTTATTGATTTCTTAGAGAGAGGAAGGGAGAGGGATAGAGAGCTAGAAACATCGATGAGAGAGAAACATCGATCAGCTGCCTCCTACACACCCCCTACGGGGGTTGCACCCGCAACCAAGGTACATGCCCTTGACTGGAATCGAACCTGAGACCCTTCAGTCCGCAGGTCGACACTCTACCCACTGAGCCAAACCAGTCAGGGCTCATCTGGTAAAACTCTTATCTGGTTTGTGCATCCTTCCACCAGGCTAAGTCGGCAGAGGCTATTGTACAGGAGGCCCGATGCCTTTCGGCCGCTGTACAACTCTCTGCATTGTAATTCAGAAAGTTGAACACATAACGTTCTTCTCCCCCTTTTTTGTTTCTGTAGTTGCATTTTAAAAGTAGGATTGGTGCTTTCCGCTATTGCCTGAGTCCTGATCTATCAGCCCCGGGAGAACTTGCCAATCCTGCGCTTCCCAGGGTGGTATGATGAAGGTTTACTGAGCCAGCTGGAAAGGCTGCAGTGGGGTCAAGGATAAGGCCCCTACTGTTTGGTGGGGCCGGGGCTGGCCCCGCTTGAAGTTTCCCTGCCTAGGGGGCACTGGATTATCATCAACATCAGTCTTGGAGCGGCATTCATTTGCCCAATGCTTTCCTCTCCTGCATCTTGGACATAGTGCAGGCTGCTTGTTTTCACTCCCTGTAACCTGTTGACTTCCATTCTTAGCATTACAGTCTTTAGCAAAATGCCCTAGTTTGCCACAGTTAAAGCAGCCCCCTTTCTTTTTCTGCTGACCAGCGAGTAACGTCTCCTTTAATGAGGCAGCTAATACTGCTCCTTGCACATAGGCTGGTCCAATGTCAGCAGAAACACGAATAAAAGACTTCCATAATAAGTAGTCTCCAGGCGAAAGACAAACCTTTGAAACAATATGAAGCCTCTGGGAACCTTCCACTATCCGTCTCAGTTCCCCTGCCACATTCATCCATTCCCTTTCGGGATTGGGCTCTAGGCAGTCCCGAATCAGGGACCACAGACTGAAAGTAGAGAGAGGAATTCTCCCTGGATTTTCAGCTATAGAACCATCTCTAAGTTGTTTTCCTACCGTCTCCCATGCCTCTACATTTACCTTTCCTTCCTCAGGAAACCATGGGCAGGTTTTACTTACAAAATCCAACAAATCTAAAAGCTGTTGAAACCTCACGGAACAGCCCTGTGCTTGGAGCCTAGCCTTAAGCATGGATATGTATAAATTCTTTTCCTGCGATCCTGAATTTCCCATGTTTGACACCTAGTTATTACTGAACTTCGCTCCTTACCTTCCTTTTTACTTCCTGCACGTGCTTCACTGGAGCGTCCTTTCACCGGACAACTGCAGTTCCCCCGAACTCAGGCCCCTCGTTGGGCGCCACATGTGCCAGGCCAGCACAGCCAAGGGTTTGGTGAGCCTGAGGGGGGGCGGCAAAGGATTAAAGAAAAGACAGACACAGAGAATAAGCCGGGTCTAGGTGGATCTTCCTGTGCCTGGCTGAGGCCACAGAGAGAGACCTAGAGGGCAAGCTGAGCCTTTATTCTATAGCCAGAGGTAAACAAGGTAGTGATCACCGTAGTTACAATGTTCTTGTGAGTTCTACTTGTTTTGGCAGCACTTGCTGCACTTCCTGTAGCCCATTAGCTACCCAGATAGGATCTAGGAAGCTTCATAAAGTCAAGCTTAATTATGCTAAGAGGGCTGTGCCCTCCAAACTGGGACTTGTTTGTGGCTTTGTCAACAGGTCAGTACGAGGCTTAACCCTATAGCCGCTCCCTATAGCTGTAGCCAGTGACCACAAACTTGGTGGCTTAAAGCAACACAAATTTGCTATCTGGAGGTCAGTTCTGGAGGCTGGAAGTTTAAAATCGATGTTGGTGGCTGAAGTCAAGGTGTCCACAGGCCGATGCCTCCTGGGAGCCCTGGGAAGCCTTGGTTTCCCCGTCCCTCAGCTGCCGGAGGAGCCTGCAGGCTCTGGCCCCCCTGCCTCCTCTGCGGCTGGAGGACTGCCCCCTCTCTGGCCTCTCCTCCTGTCTTTCCTCCCTCTAATGTGTCTCCACAGGACATCCACACCTGTAGAGAGTGTTTGTAGGTTGATTTGAGCCAAACTGTGGACACCTGCCAGGGAACAAGATCTCCAGTGCTCTCGGGAGAATAACAGTTCTGCAGCCTCTTTGATGCATTTGAAATTAAGCAGAAACGTAAGGAAGGTGAAATGAAGGTGGGAGAGAGCCAGGTGGGGATCGGATCAGAGGAGAGTTAACGAGGGTATGTGCTCCCTGTTTATCTCTAAGGCGTGGACAGGGCTTGCTTGAGGCAAAAGAAATCTTTTACTAAAAGGTTACATGCCTGGGGTGTGACCTGACCCGTTGGGGAGTTAGGATCAGATCACCCCGTGAGGTTACGGTTACTTTCCATAGAACACCCACTCCCTTTTTTTTTTTTTTGTTTGCAAATTCTGCTGCTGCTCTAGTAAGAGGACCTTTAAGTTGGATGCATCCAAATCTAGGGTCATCTCTGAATCACAATATTCTTACCTAATCCCATCGTGAAGTCCCTTTTGCCACGTACGGTAACAGTCACAGGCTCGGGGGACCTGGATGTGAACATCTTGGGGGGCACTTTTTCAGCCTCCCACAAATAGCAAAGTCCCACTGACGACGTAGGGGTGGCTGAGGCTCAGGTGTGCAGGCTGAGTCGGGGGCAGATGGCTCGGTGCTCTTGCCCACCCTCTGCCCTGATTCTCAGGGATGTGAGCACAGGGCAGCGGCCACCTGTGGGGGTCCTGCCCGGTGCCCCACTTTGCCGCACAGACCCATTGGACGGATGAGGAATGATAAAGAGAAAGCCCCAGGCCCCAAATGGCATCGCTCGTGCTGAAAAGCCCATGATGCCAAACCTGTATTTAATACCAATCTCAGCGCAGTGTCGGCCTCTCCCAGGACCGTCATCTTGGTGACCAGGCTGGAGTCGGCTGGTCAGCCCCAGTAGAGCCATCGGTCCGGGTCCCGGGGCCCCCTCTACCCTCCTCACCCCCATGGACCGAAGAGGCAGGTCTGCCTGACAAAAGCCTTCCCCCTCGCTTCCCCCCAAGAAGGGATGTCCCGCCTCAAAGCCATCCTTTCATTTCTTTCACACTTAGCTCCCTTGCCCGCCCTCCCCCCCCTTCCTCATATAAACACCCTGGATTTTGTACAGCCCCTTCCCCCTGCTCGGCGGGAGGCTGCCCGATTCAGGAGTCCCTCCATAAAGCCAACTAGATCTCCAAGCTAATTCGGTTGATTTTATTTTCTTTTTCTTTCTTTCTTTCTTTTTTTTTTTTTTTTAAACAGGAAACAGATTTGAAAGTGGGTGAGGATTTGGCAGGGGGCGTGGACCCCCCCCCCCCCCCCAGGCTCCCGGCTCTCCCCGAACCTGGGTCAGAAGTTCTGCCCCTGGGAGGGCGGTGCTGCTGCGTGCCGACTGGTCCCCTCGCCCCGCCCGCCTCCTCCTGGCTCTGGACTCAAGCTGCACCCGCAGCCGCCCGCGCCTCCCTCCGCAGAGCAGAGCGCCCGCCAGCGCCCCGCCGCCGCGATGCCTGCCCCGGCCCTGGCCGCTGAGCGGCCAGGTGCTGCCCGCCTTCCTCCTCTGCAGCACCCTGCTGGTCATCAAGA